ATCCTTTATTGATCAATAGAATTAATGAAAAAGAAATTTTAATATAATATAAAAGATTTGTTAAACTCTTCAAGGATCTTTAAGATTTGAAGGCTTTATTAAAATATAAGTTTTGGAATTATAAGATCAATTTCAAAAAGGGATTTGTATTTTTTGTTGAAAAGTTGAGATTATATAATTCTAGTATTATATAGATATAGAAAGAATATAAAATTAAGATTGAAAAAAAAAGATAAATTAAGAAATCCAAATTCCTTTATATATCCAATATATTATTGGTATTTAAGAAAAATGATTTAAATAATTGATCTTGTAAAGATTATCATCGAATTAACAATAGAATAATTAGAAATATATATCCAATATCAAAAGTCTAAAAACTTAAAGATAAATTGAATAAAGTTATGATTTATACAAAATTAGATTAAAGAAATACTTTCAATCTGATATAAATAAAAGAGAATTATAAATAAAAAACAACCTTCATTTTATTATTGAATTTATAGAAATATATAATTATACTATTCGAACTAATCAATATATTAATTATATATCAATAACAAAACAATAAGATATTCAAAAAATTCAATTTGTTTATAATCTATTATTTGAATGATATTCTAATCTTCTTTTAGAAAGAAAAGGAATATAAAGAATATATATTAAAAGTATTCGAAGCATTTAGAAAAGTAAATTCAAGATTCAAACTATTGAAATACAAGTTTGAAATATAAAAGATAATATTCCTAAAATATATTATTCAATCAGAATAAATAAATATAAATTCTAAGAAAACAAAGAAAATAAAAAATTAGAAAAAACTTAGGAATATTAAGAATATATAATCTATATTAGAATTTGTCAATTTCTATCGAATATTTATAAAAGATTTCTCGAAAATAATAGAATCTTTTATCGAAATAATCAAAAAAGAAATAACTTTTATATAAAATAAAAAAGCGGAATAGGTTTTTCAAGAAATCAAGAATAGATTTACAAAAGAATCTATTCTTTATAATTATTATAATAATCGAGAAAGTATTATCGAAATAAATATTTTTGATATTTATATAACAGAAATCTATTTGTAAAAAGATAATAATAGGAAACTATATTTTGTTATTTATTATTCAAATAAAATAAACAAAATAGAATAGAATTATAATATTTATAAAAAAGAATTTATAGTTATTATAAAAATATTGAAATATTGAAGAATCTATTTTCAAAAAATTAAATTCCTAATAATCATTTATATTGATTATATAAATCTTCGAATCTTTATTACTATTAAGATCTTAGATAATTATAAATTGATTAGATAGATTAAGAAACTAATAAGATTTGATTTGATAATCAAATATATCAAAGGAAAAGATAATACAAAAGCAAATACTTTAAATAGATTATCAAATTATAAAGACGATAAAACCTACCAAAAAAAGATAATCTTGAAATCTTTATTAAATAAAGATCTTATCCCTAATTTAATAGAAATTGTTATTATAAAAAATAAACTAATAAAGGTTTAAAAGAATAAATTTATAAAAGTATAACAAAATAAAAAAAGTATCAAATGATCAGAATTATTAATAATTATTGAAAGATTATTTCGAATAAAGAACAAAATATAATTATCAAATAATATCACCTTTAAATATATTATAGAATAATATATATTATTAATTTATAGATATCAAGAAATACAAAGAATATATCTAAAAATCAAAAAACAATATTAAAATCCAGGATTTTATAATATAATCAATAAAATAATTATCGAATATAATACTTATATTAAAAATAAGATTTCTCATCATACTTCTTATAATCAGATAAATACTATCGAGATATTATTTATATTATAGAAATCAATATTATAGGATTTTATAAATCCATTATCAAAATCCAAAGATTCAACAATAGAAATAATATATGATTATCTCCTTATTATAATAGATAAACTAACAAAGTATTTGATATTCATATTATATTAAACAATATTAATTATAGAAATACTAACCTTTATATTTCTGAAAAAGATTGTAATAATATATAAATTATCAAAGAAAATACTTTTTGATAAAAATAAACTTTTTATATCGAAATTTTGGATTGTTTTAATAGTATTGTTAAAAATAAAAAGAAAAATATTTATTATATTCTATTTATAAATCAATAAAGAAAATAAGAAAATAAATCAAATTGTTGAAATTTATTTTCAATATTATATAAATTATCAATAAAACAATTGAATAGAACTTTTATCTTTAATATAATTCATATATAATAATTCAATATCAGAAATAATACAAATCACTCCGAATTATATCAATTATAAATACAAATTGATTATATATTGCAAACTAAAGATTACAAAAATAAAAAACCAATTTGCAATAATATAAATGAAAAGATTCAAAAAGATCTATAAGGAAATAATAACAGAATTAAAATTTATTATCGAAAGAAATGTATACTATTATAATCGAAAATATAATCAAGAATCAATATTAAAAGAAAAAGATAAAATCTATTTACTTCGAAAAAACATCGAAACAAAAAGATCTAATACAAAATTAAATTATAAGAAACTCGGATTATTTAAAATCAAGAAAATTAAAAGATCTTTGAATTATAAATTGATATTATTAAAAAGTATAAATATATATCCAATATTCTATATATCCCTATTCGAATTAATATTTCTAAAAATATCTAAAACTTCTAAAATAGAAATCATATCTATAAATCAAGATATCGAATACAAAATGAAAAAGATATTAGATTGTAAATATATTAAAAACAAAATTAAATATTTAATAAAATAGAAAGATTATTTTAATTTCGAAAATATATAAAAACTTGAAAAAGAAATCAAATATTTAAAAAAATATTAGAAGTTTCATCAATAGAATCCAAATTTACTTAAAAAGAAGAAAAATTTATTATTTTCTACAAAAAAGAATCGAAAGAATCGAATTCGTTTATAAGAATTTTGTTAAGATTAATAAGATCAATTAATAATTAATCAAATTGATTAAGAATTAATTAATCAAATTGATCAAATTAATCAAATTAATTAAATTGATTAGAAAAGTCGGAATTAATAATGAGTATTAAGAATATAACAATTTCCTCTTTTTCTTTTCTTTTCTTCTTTTCCAAAATATCCAATTCATCAAGATATTTGAGATCTTACTTAATTATCTTTTTATAACGATCTTATAAATAATCTTATTGTTTTCGAAAATAAAGAATTTTAATTATAATTTTTTTTTCTTTTTTACAAAGTTTTTCCTCTTATTTATCTAAAAATTCTCAATCACTTATTCAAGGAATTTCTTTATCCCAATCATCTTCCAAATATTACTTTATATTACAAAGAGTACAAGATTATATATATTCAAAACAACAAATCTTTTACAAATTATTTAAAATTTTTATATAACGAAAATGCTCTATACAATAATAGATATACAGAATTATCTCGATACCAGAATTTTCGATTTCAATTATAAAACAGAACTTTTTTTATTCTTTCAAAGAATTTTATTAAATTGTAAATTATTTATAATAAGGAAAAGAATCAAGATATAAAACAATAAAAAACTAATAAGTTATATACTAATTATAAACAATCAAAAACAATATTTGATTAAAAAAAGGATAATATCACAAAATCATTTTATAAAATATTACAAAGTAATAATTAATTTATCTCTATAAACTTTAATTTTATTGAAAAGCAAAGCAATTAATATATAAATTTGTATAACAATTATTTTGTATAATCTCCTTATTTTCAATAAGCTCGAATATATAATCTGATTCTAATCATATAATAAAGCCTTTAAAAGTATAGACTTTTATAGGCTTCTTAAAGCCCTTAGGAGTATAGGCTTCTAAAGACTCCCAAAATGGATTAATATATAATCAGAATAGTTTTATAATTTAAGAGTTTTGTATTCAATTTAATTATCAATTAATTTATCTATATCCCAATTGATTTAATAATATATTCATCTTCGAATGAATAATCAATGATTATTAGCCTTAATCTACAACTACCAACTATACGAAAACCTGAGGCAGCCGCTGCCTCGATCAGATCGTTACAATATAGATCTTTTTGAGGAATTGATTGGTTTGAGATTAAGAATTGAAGGGATAAAAGAATAAAGAGAGGTTTGAGGAAAGGTTTGTAATAAATGTAATGAGTATAGTATTTAGAGATTTGTATTTGTATTTGTATTAGTATTGGTATATAGTGTAAAAATAATAGATCGAGATATATATATCTTGATAGTATACTATAAGAGGGAATTGAAAAATAAAGCTAATTAGATTATATTATAATATATTATTTATAAAAAAAATAAGATTTATAATAGTTTTAGAATTGAGATTATATAAATTTATATATATATAGAAAATTAATTATTTTGAAAAGAAAAAACAATAGTTTTTCTTTTATATTTAATTATATTTAATTATATTTAATTATATTTAATTATATTTAATTATATTTAATTATATAATTTATAATTTTAACTTTTTTATAATAAATGAGAATAAGAATAAAGATAAAGATGATTATATTAAAAAATATTGAAATTTATAATACTTTTATTACTTAGATTTTATTTAATCAAAAGCATTATAAATAAGAAAATATAATTGTTTTTTTTTAATATATTTTATTATTAATATATTATAATCATTATATAGAAAAGAGACTGTACAACAAACGGCTCTAGCCTCTACTTCTTCAATATAAATAGATTTATATTTCAAGGTTATTAATGACAATTAAAAATCAATATATATTATAATAATACTATCATTAAAGTGATAGTACTTTCCACTTTCCTCAGTAACCTCTGTACAAGAAGTTCAAAGCTCGGACCAATCTTTTTTTTAGTTTAGTCACCACCCTCACCCCATCAAACCAATAGCATAGCTTTCTTTCTGTGAATGAATCTAAATGTAGGTTAATAAATATTTCTCAGCTACGAGCAACAACTTTATTTACTACCTTACCTTAGGTACCTTACCTTATCTTGCCTACGAACCTTGATTGCAAGATTCCGGGAATTCAATTGCGAGGATTCGGATTTCTTTTTCGCGCGAATAGTTGCGAGTGGGTTGACTTCAATTGTATTTAAGGATACTTTGGGTTGAGTTTGGTGTTGTTTTTTTGCTGGTGCGAATTGAGAGCTAGAGTTGAGAGCTGCAAATTAAGGATTTACGGGGCGCCGCGAGAAGAAAAGAAAAGAAAAGTGAAGATCAATTGCGAAGCACAAAGTACGAATTACATCTGCAAACTGCGGATTACCATTACGATCTAGATTGCGAATCTCGAATACGAATTTCAAGCGCGAAAATGGCTGATTACGAAAATCGTGGAGGGTATCAGGGTGAGCGTAGTGATCAGGGTAATCAAGGTGGTAGAAATGATCGCGGTTATAATCATGGTGAGAGAGGTGATAGGGAAGAGAGGGGCGGGAGGGAAGGAGGTGGGAGGGGTGGTTATAGAGGGAGGTTTAATGGAGGTGGTGGTGGGAGAGGTGGTGGGAGGAAGAGGTATAGAGGTTAGTGACTTTTTTCGGTTTGTTTTGTTTGGGAGGTGGATTCGGAGGGTGTTGGGATGGGATTCGAATGGATCGAGAGGAGAAAAGGAAAGGGAATGCAGAGGATCCAATGACAAGAAAACAAACATAGCTAACAAGAACTTTCTCAAACCACAGATGAAGATGATTATGATCGAAGACCTCAACGACGTCGATACGAAGAACCACTCATCGTCAAAGTTCGCAAACAACTTCTTTCAATTGCAGAATCACCTCTAAAGCGCGTCGAAACAGAAGTAGCCGATATTGCCAAGATTGTATGTGATAACTACGATGATGTCGAATTACGCGATTCATTCTATGATTTATCACTACAATTGGTGGTAGAACAACCATTCAAGATTCCTTTTGTGGCTGCAGTGGTTATGGTATTGAATACTTTGAAAGAAGACATGGTTAAAGAGTTGTTAGAACGAGCTGCCAAGGGTTTGAATAAATCAATCACGAAAGGTGATTGGAGACAAGTCAAATTGTTCATGAAGTTTTTGGGAAGTTTGCAAGGTTTGTTAGAGGGTGATGGTATATTCCCTGTTTTGCAAGACTTCCTGACCAAAGCCTTGGATTTACAAACGGAGAATAATGAAGAGGTATGTATTCTGCATACAGATATTGTATTTGGTAATCATTGCTAATATTTGGCTAGACTATTGGACCTGAATTGGTTAAAATCATTCTTCTCACTATTCCATATATCATGGCATCTTCAGCAACAGATGCTCATGAGAAAGCTGCGGCTATGATCGAAAACACTGATATCATTGCTTCTGAACCACATGTTCTACAAGCTTTGGTTGATCCATATCCTGGAAATGCAAAGGAAGATTCTATTGCTCCAGTTGGTGTTTTGAGTCTTTTACAAAAGCAATTACAGGCTGAATCACAAAATGGATGGGAGCTCTTTTGTTTACCTAGACCTTGGAAGATGATTGAACCAGAACAACAAGAAGCTTTGGTTTTGGCTTCAAAACATGCTTTACCAACAATTACTCTTCCTGAAATTGTTAATGCTGGACCAAGACCTTTGTTCCCCGAGCTTTACTTTTCGGTTTATGCTAATCAAGATGTGGAGACTGTTCCACCCATCACCGATATTTCTTCATGTTTGTTAAGAGATGCTTTGGTTGATACCATCAATATTTTGGATTACAACAGAAATGCAACTGCAAAATTCTTGATCGATATTGATTGTTATTTTGCCCCTGATACTTTTGTCAAGAGAGCAACTCCATTCGATAGACTTCGAGATGTTGAAGGAGATAGATCAACATGGAAACCTGAGGATGTTGCAGTTGATGCAGTATTTTCTCAATTATTTCAACTTCCAGTTCCGGAACACAAACTCGTCTATTATCATGCTGTCTTGACGGAATCTTGCAAGATTGCTCCAGCTGCTATCGCACCATCTCTTGGTCGTGCAATCCGTTTCTTATATAGAAATGTGGATTCTATGGATCTTGAGTTGGCCAATAGATTTATGGATTGGTTTTCTCATCACCTGAGTAATTTTGGATTTACTTGGAAGTGGACTGAATGGATTGATGATGTAGAACTTTCGGATTTAGACCCAAAGAAAGCTTTTATTATTGGTTCTTTGGATAAGGAGATTCGATTGAGTTTTGCTCAGAGAATTAAGGGGACTTTACCACCTCCTTATCAGCAATTGATTACGGAAGAGAAAGAAAAGGATACTCCTGATTTCAAATTTAATGATCCGGGTAAGTGTCATCATTTCTAAGCATGAGCTGTTCTAACAGTTATAGACACACCATTCAGTACAGAGGGTCAAGAAATTCTTGCTCTCCTCCGAAGAAAGGCCGCCGAAGATGAAATTCAACCAATCGTCGATAGAATTCACGCTCTAGCCGTTGAACAAGCACTTCCAGATCCTCTCGTTCCATCCACAGATGCATACGTAACATCGATCTGTTACATCGGATCCAAATCACTCAGTCACGTACTTTCCTGCATTGAACGTTGTAAAGATCGTCTTTTAGCAGTTGGTCCGGCCTCCCCCGTCGCCAGGCGACAGATCATTACTTCAGTCATGGAATACTGGAAAGATCAACCTGGAATTGGAGTCAATATCATTGACAAATTACTGAATTATACAATTCTTAGTCCACAAAGTGTGGTTCAATGGGCACTTGGCAGTGAGGGTAAGAAATTGAGTCAGGCCTTTGTTTATGAAATGGTCAGTGCAACCGTAGGAAAAGTAACAGGCCGAATTCGTCAAGTTCAATTAAGTCTTCGCGTCCCAGGACTCTTAGAAGAACAAAAAGCCCTGATTAACCAAACGGTTGAAATGGAAAGAGTTAATATGCGTGAATTAGGACAAGAAATGGATGATCTTCTTAGCTCATGGGCAAATGGATCGAAGGATCAAATGACAGATATGGATGGAAATGGAATGGCGGGTGACGAGAAATTGGTTAGAGCATGGGGTGAGAGATGGCTGAGAGTTTTTAGGAGAAAATTTGCTGTTGAGGAGGCGTGGGGAACGGAGGCTAGTAGGTGGGTTATGCCAGAACCAGAACCAGAAGTGGAGGAGGTGGAGATGAATGTCTCTGCTGGGGAAGGAGATGCACTTGCGGATGAAAGGGTAAAGAATCCTGAGGAAATGAGAATTGATGGGGAGGGTGTAGGTGCTGAGGATTATGAGGGGATTGATTAGACACCCACGGAAATCTAATCGAGTAGATCAGGGAGGGAGATTGTGGTCAAAGTGATATGGATATGGATATAAGTTGCAACATAAGAATAGAACAAAACAGGAAAGGAAAGGAAAGGGAGAAAAAAGCTAGGCGAGACACGAAAGAATTTGCATAAGCAAGTAAGCACTGCATGATGGGGAAAGGAAAAGAAAAAATCTCTTCGCTTTCATTCTCATTTTCATTCTCATCTATTTTTCTTTCAATGTTCAGTTCAATTTTCTTATTTCTTTTTCTCTGTACGATTAAGATGGATGGCTGTATGTATGCACAGTGCAAGATGAGACGAGACGAGATATAGATGAATGCAGAGATGATGAGTTCATATTAGTGAGGTAAAATTAGTGAGGTCAAGTAGACATTTGAGAGTTAAATTTATTCCTTCATTGGATTCTTTTGAATGAAATGATGTGTAATTTGATGATGTTATGTTATGAGATATGATATCATAGGGAATTGACTCGCTGCAATTAGGTATACATCATGCAACATATATGCTAATATAGCATTTCTATCCTACTCATGGCAGGGAGCAGGGAGCAGGCTGGAGCTGAGCTAGCTGTGAAAGATGTTAATGCTAGGTCCATAACCTCGCATTAGATGAATGTGTAATTTAAGGTCACTCACCCCTTTGAACGCCGTAAACGCCTGATATATCCTTCACCCGAGCCTAGCTTGATTTCGTGGTATTTTACTTTTCTCCTGAATTCCGCTCGCTTCTTGCCCTGACTTTGCTGGTCCCAATCTTACATTTATAACGCCCTCTGTGTCCACGGTTTACTATTTAAAATACACTTCTGCCCAGCACCCAACCTTCACCTCCTTCCATAGCCAGGCTGTCCTCCATGACCTTGCGCTCCCGTCGGTGGCATACCCATCGGCATCCCCTGTTGTCCACCAAATCCAGGAGGTGCCTGCATACCCAAAAGACCCGGCGGAGGAACCATTCCTCCTTGTATAGGAGGTTGCATACCCCCGGGTGGCGCAAATCCAGGTGGAAATTGTACTCCTCGTACAGGCCCAGTTGCAGGATGGCCGTATGCACCACTTGGACCAGTGGGTGGAGCATGTTGATTGTGGAAATCCATTTGAGGCCCACCATAGCCGGCGTGTGATGGAGGTGGTCGTTGGGGAAGACCAGATGGAGGGGGCGGGAGGTGTTGGGTTGGTCCTGCTGGCGGGCCGCGTGGGCCGCCTGGAGGAGGGACAGAATTGTAAGATGGCCGTTGAGGTGGGAATCCTGGGGGTGCGGTAGGTATCGGGGATTCATTTAACATGGCTGCTGGTGCTTGTGGGATTCCATTCATACCCAATAATAATCCCGGTGGCATATTTTGTAAATCTGGAATAACATTATGCTTCTTTGCTTGAGCCGCCAATGCTCTCTCAGCTGCATCTCCGTGTCTTTCCCCTTTACCATCTTTCTTGTATGCGTATTGTACCGAGATATCTTTATTCATTAGGTATTGACCATTCATGTTTGCGATAGCATCATCGGAAGCTTCGAAGTTCGCATATGAAACGAAACCATAACCTTTAGAGAGGGATGATTCGTCGCGAGCAATTTTGGGAGGAGAAATGAGTGATCCAAAGCGGGAGAAGGTATCGTATAGGGTCTTTTCATCAACCATAGGATCAAGATTACCAATGAAGAGCTCGGCGCCAACTTCGACAGTTTTCTGTTTATCGGCAGAGGCCTATATTTCCCCAGTTAGTATACTCTCCCTAGTCTTGACAAGTGAGGACAAAAACGAACCTTGTTAACACGAATTGGTTTCCCAAATAACCTCACTTGATTCATAATGCGCGCCGCATACTCAGCATCCTCCTCTGATATAAATTCCACAAATCCATAACCCTGATGATTCTGAGTGACGCGATCTTTGGGTAAATGTACATTGACAATACGACCAGCTTGTAACATCAATTCCCATACCAAGCTATCAGTAACGCGCTCATCGATATTGCCAATATAGACGGTGGCTTCCTTGTCTTGTTCCCTTTCACGAGGAGCCATAGTCAGCTTTTTGTAGATTTCGAGGTTTTGAACTTGGGAGTGAGGAATTGGAAAGTCGAGTTTAGAGAAAGGAAAAGAAATTATTTACCAATGTCTTGCACCTGACATATTGTTATACTTGGCGAGAGTCGGAATTAATATCCCCGTTTTGTAGGTTTATTTGAGTGAAGTTGAGAAGAAAAGAAGCTGTTAAGTGAATACCTAATAAATATACACGGAGCTCAACAGTGAAGCTTGAGTTGCGACGGAAAATTAATGGCGGATTAGTCAGCAGCCTTGTTGATTGTGATAAACCTTGATCACTTTTTTTGTATGGTAGCAAGATTGGTGAAGACAAGCTAAGCATTTGATTTTACAACAAGTTGTATGTATATCTTGATGCGCTTTTCCTGCTCATATGTTCGATACTAATTGCACATAGTTCGCGATTTCAAGATATAATCAAAATGCAACTTTCCGAAGAATCTAAGGTTCGCATGCAGACACCCTTTGTGTGATGGATAGAATGGTCTTGTTAACCAGAGATTAGGAGCGCATTGGAAAGCTCATTGACTATTCCCGTGTTGCTATTCATTAGTAGGATATTTGGATTTATTGTCTTGGGCTTATGCTAACAATCTATAGTGGTTACCTTCCATTGATCCTCTACCTTGGTAGGAACTACCAAACGACATGAAGCAAAGAAAAACATGCTAATAAAAGTAGGATACACCCGCAGCGAACCTCGCCCTTCTATCGTCAGGTTAGTACCTCCGCAAATTCTCAAACCTCTAGAACGTTTACTGATTCCCATTTGCAGACTTCTTTCTCCTCTCGCATAAGCTCTCTCTAGTGAGCTATTACACAAAATGTTTTACTAGTCAACGCTGAGATGGGTGCGCAGGAACGGGGAGAAGAAACCGGGGTTTTGATGGATCACTGGCGTCAAGCAGAGGATGATATGACGCTTGTAGCATATGAGGCGTTCATGAAATAATGAAATGCTCAGGGAGCTCATATTTATGGTGGATACACACACATACCATACGAAGATAATTGTACAATAGCGCAAGAAGCGCAATCACCACTACAAAATCAACCCATTTTTGATTTTCCATTGAAAATCTTAGTAGTAAAACCTTTGTCGTCTGTACAATGTGACGCTCATCCCAAAAAAATATCATTCGCCCCCGCCTCGGCAAATCCTAGAAAAATATGAAGCTTCATTTTCGTCATCAGGTGAAATATATTGCCCCTCGCAACTTCAATCTTTCACAATGATAAATATAAATCCTCACTTATGACCGAAAACCATGCGCGCATCTCCCCCGCGCTTGTCGAGACAATTGCTGGCCTCTCGGCCGGTACAGCATCTACTCTAGCTGTTCATCCTCTTGATGTTATCAAAACGCGATTACAAAGTAACTTTATACCCCTTCTCGTCCTTCACGAATCGCATATTTCTAACACCCACCAGTTCACCGCAGTGTATCGCGCACACCGGCTAGTGGCCTCACCATCTTCCGCAGCCTAACTAAGCAACCTCAACCTCTTCAAAGTCTCTACCGCGGCCTAACTCCCAATCTCACAGGCAATGCCAGCAGCTGGGCTCTTTTCTTCTACTTCAAAAATATCTTCGAATCCTCACTCCGCTCTTTCCACAACCAGCGTTCAGATTCCAGTTATGTACCACTCACGCCCCTTGACTATTTTCTTGCGTCCGGCTCGGCCGGTATCATGATTACCATCTCTACAAATCCAATATGGGTGCTCAAAACCCGAATGCTGAGTTCGGATCGCGGAGCTAAGGGCGCTTATCAGAGTATGTGGCATGGTGCTAGACATGTATGGCAATATGAAGGAATACGGGGTTTTTATAGAGGGGTTGGTGTTAGTTTATTGGGTAATAGTCATGGAGCTGTTCAATTTGCTGTTTATGAGCCTCTGAAGAATTTCTGGCGCAATCATATTTCTCACCAGATTTTGAGAGGGGATAGAGAAAACTCTCAGGTTAGATTGGGGAATACGGCGACGCTTTTAATAAGTAGCTCAGCGAAGATTATTGCGGGGACGGCGACGTATCCGTATCAGGTTGTGAGAAGTAGGTTACAGACTTATGATGCGGAAGAGAGATTTGGGAGGGGGATTAGAGGGGTTGTGGGGAAGGTTTGGAGAGAGGAGGGATGGAGGGGTTTTTATAGGGGCTTGGGGACGAATGTTGTAAGGGTTTTACCAGCTACTTGGGTTACGTTTTTGGTGTATGAAAATGTTAGATTTTATTTGCCAAGGTGGTGGGGCGGAGAGGGGAGGGAGTAAGATACGGAATTGAGGAGGGAGGGATATCTACAGGACATGTTGTGTTTGTATTGTTTGTAAACTATTACCCAAACATTGGGATTTGGACGAGATATGAATCGGTGTACCATAGAAGCTCTAAAAAGTCACAAGATCATCTACTGTCAACAGAAGATAAGTTTCCATGTCTACTAATCACGTTTTCCAACAAACAACCTCACCACACCCCGTCTTCCACCAGCATCCTTCCGTCTTTTCCCAAGTATCCCACTCCGCAATCATGTCTTTGATTTCCTCTTCACTTCCCACAACCGCTAGCCTCACCGCATTCTCGCCAACATCACCCGTCATCAATGAATTCTTCCAACTCGGCTGCATCAAATAACTATAACTCTCCACCACCTTCCCCTCTTCAAACCCCGCATCCCTAGCCCACTTTACCAAGAACTTTCCTGCATGAGGCACGGAACCCTTCTCTATAATCATCTTCTCCATAATCTCCACCGATCTCTTCAAGCCAGGCGTAGAGGGATAAAACACCGCATCCCCCATATCACTCTCCCTACACGCCACCAATCCCCCAACCTTACACACTCTCCTCATTTCCCTCATAGCCTCCACGGGATCCGGTAAATGGATAAGTAACTGATGCGTATACACCACATCAAAAGTCTCATCCTCAAAAGGTAATTTCATCACATCACCTACTTGAAAATCACAATTTTTCAAACCCAGTTCCTTTGCTTTCGCATTGGCGATTTCGATTACTGATGATCCGGCGTCGAGACCGGTGATAGTGCCGGAGGGTATAAGTGAGGCGATGTCTGTTGTTATAGAGCCGGGTCCACAGCCGAGATCGAGGACGCGAGATGTGGGGGTTAGGTGTGGGAGGAAATAGGAACAGCAGGTTGAGGCGCGGCGGAGGGAGTGCCGGTCGATTACTGCGGGGCTGTAGCCGAGCGAGTAGGTTTCTTCGGATTTCATGATTTTTGTGCTTGGTTTTTTTGTATGGCCTTGTTGTTGATTGTTTGGGATTGAGATGGAAGAGAAATGATACTAGGTGAGTCTTACCTAAAAAGTTGTTGTCGTTACGGAGATAAGATGGAGGTATCACTGGGGTAGATGATGATTACGTCATCGTACATTTGTAGATTTTTAAAGCTGTTAAGCGGGCAGCGACGATCTATCGGTTGTATTGATGCACAGCCGTATTTTGCTCGCATCTCACATCTAAGCTGCATAGGCATACTCCAGCTGGCCTCATAAATTTAAATCTGAGATTTCTTCGAATTAAAGGGCGCCAAAACAAACAGTCAATCGACGTATGGGTCATATACATGCCCAGGAATCGCAACTTTCATTGGAAATAATTATCCTTCAAGTATCAAGTCTAGCCCCTATCTGCGCTGCATCTTAGCCGCGGCTGGATTAGAGGAAGAAGAAGAGCCGCTACGATACTCGTATCTTGAATCCTCCAGTAGATTCTCAGTCAAGGGCTATCTTCCTATATGTATGTGCCTTTAGTCTTTGGGAATTTAGGATAGGAAATTAAATGTACTCAGGACACCCTAAATGGCCATTACACCTTGGGTTAAACGATTGCGGGACCATGGCTGTCATGAATCGGAAGTCTTCTGCCTAGAGCAGCTTGTGTATGGATTAGAGCCACTGCAAATTCATCTTCACGATCTGGCAAACACTGGAAAAGAATATCGTAGGTGACAAGCTTGGCTATTTAAATGCGTGTTTGGCCAAGCACCTTTAATTTTGGCAAAGGAACGAGGAATTGAGATGGATCTGAGGTGCGAACTAAGGAAAATTGACAGGCGGGAGAAACCCGCTGGCAGATTCTGCTTCCTTCACTAAAAAATGATTTCAGATGAAAATTAAGATGGCACTGTGTTCTTCTTTGGGTTATTCAAAGAAGCAGTTTGATTCACTTTCGTGGATGGAAAAGTCGGCCTGTAATCTAGTGCCTAGAGATGACCGCGACTATTACCAGCAGCTTCAATTGTCACATAATTAATGACAACATTTGAAATGGCAACAGTATTAAGAAATATCTGGGAGATTGTGAAATTCCAAGACCATCAAGCACTGTCGATAAAGTCCATTACTACGTCATCAGCAGGAACTGACGCGAAAACGAATTCTACAAAACCTCGCAAAGGCCCAGAAGAGAATCAGGATATGGAACATCACCAAATCGGCAATAATAAGACGAGCTCCGACCGCTAAATCCACAGAGGGGACCATAGTCATAAGTCTTATTTCGAATTCGAGAAGATTCAAGAACATATCGGAGATCTTCCTACTATGCATCATATTTTCTGAATTAGGTTGGAAAGACCACACAGCAAACACAAATAACAGGGGAAAAGAGCACCATTTGACCGGCCTATGCAGCATACCATGCAGAAGCTCCAGATCTCATCCCTCCTGAACTTTTGAGATTTCGTGAAACACCTTTGGGAGGAAAAAGAAGAGGTCCCTTGCACCCGACGCTGCTTCCCGTAGTGATTGGCTAGATGCTCCGGATTATAGTTCAATGGTTTGGGTTGCTTATCACCGCCATGAGGGTATCAGAGGTACGTTCCGCCAAAGCCTCCACTATCCCCACTTATTTCGCGTGCGCGTATGTAGTTAATGAACAAACTAGAGAGAGTGCCCCTTCTCTAACTCCGAGTGGAAACGGAAGGGAAGCTCAAGTTGCTGAATCAGGTAATTCGAGGGCTTCATCAGCTCAACTTGCCCAAATCAGGGCAAAGGAGGACGTTGATGTGTGTGAGATACGCTCAAAACTACGGAGAAGATCTTATTGCTAGAAAGTACATACCGCTTCATGATTGGAACGTTCGCCGACACACAATCACAAAGGGAAAAAAAATACTCTCATTATAGCAAGCTCTCTTTGCTCCATGACCCGCAGGAGACATAACTTCCCAACAATTAAATCAACACTCGCCAGTGCACTTGTAGAAACAAACCCAGTTCAGCCTGCTATCCCCGTTATCTACTATTTCTACCTCTTACATATATCCACAGTCGGCGCCAGGAGCTTTTCTAACAGCCAAAATGGTAGACCCAAAAACGAAATGGCCTCTCCTCATTCTGATATAGCGGTGGTTCTGTTTTAAGTGGATCTCCCTGTACAGCTGTTGGCGTGGAAGTGATAGGTGCGTCCGGTATTCTTGGTAGAATTTTCAAATTCTCCTTATACATCTCTTCTCCAAGTTTATTAGCTAATGTATCAAGTTTGAAGGCTTCTTCATTTTTATGTTTCTCAAAAAGATCTCGGTCGTTACGGCCCAGTTCGAAACGCGCCACACCCGGACGTGAGGGAGAAAACTTGAGAAATGAGAAAGCTTGCTTGAGCCTATCTCTTTTCCTTTCCAGTTTTACTTCAGTCTCAACATCAATATAGAACGGTATACATTCGTGGTTTAAAACAAATGCAGTATGAAATTCTTTACTATGCTCTGCACGGCACTCAAGTGGATTTTCTTTAAGATCCCACAAGAGGGTTCTGTATACCTCAGAGTCTTTGGCCGGGGAGCGACGGGATCCTTCAGAAAACCAGTGACTTGTTCTGTCGAATTTTTTAATACGTCTTATACCACCGGCTTCGCCGCCAATTAATTGAACTTCTAAACGAGGGCTGCCCAAATTTCTTTCGTGATAGTCTGTTTTGCTCTCACCAATAAGCTGTTTCGGCCCGAAGTAGTCTGTCACAGAGAGGTGACGGGAATAAATCTCAGGTTTGTCTTTCTTGTTGTTGGGACCGTATTCAGCCAAGGTGATGGTGATGGTTGCTTTAGACAATTTGCAATTCCCGCCTTGACGGAAATTAAAACTTAGATATACGATACTTGCAGGTGAGATACTTGCAGGTGAGATACTGCCAGTACCTTCATCTGTCAAACCGCCTAACTTTGATCTTGAAATTTTCAGTTGGCAGTCGATGCTTGCGTCCGCAGCTTCTAGAGATGCAAGACTCGCATCTGCCAGATTTCTAATAGTCTTGTAACCAGATCTGTAGCCGCGCTTGTGTTTAATATCAAAGAAGTTGTACAGGTCCAATATGAATTTGAATCTTTCGCGTAATTTCGACTAGCAAAGAGACCCAGCGAGCCTCAGTGTAGAGCCACGTCCCCTGTCACTTTGAACTGCCCTTTAGGATAATCTACGTAGAGCAAAATGCACGCAAGAGCGTCCCTCGGCAGCATCAGAATGTTTATATATAGACTGGCAGGTAAATGAATGAAACCTGTCGTGCGTGGCTCCGAAACCACTTGATCGCACTCCTAGATTGGGGACTGAATTGTTTAAAAATTACAACATTTAATGCTATGTTCCCCATAAAACTAAACCAGTCTTCCATCTTTATTTGATGGTATTATATCATTTGTTTCTGTCGGGACAAAGAGAGGGCTGCAAACAGGAACGGTTTTTTGTCCCCGCCTACACCCTCGCCTTTAAGCAGGAACTTCTTATTTTTGCCATTACATTTGGCATTAAATCTCCCAATAACTTGATTTACAATCAAACTTCCGATAATTAGCTTCAACTCTTTAATTAGTACCCGTTTCTAATTCCAGTAGATACAGAGTGCTCATACCAAATCTGTTATCGTGAAAGGATCAGCCTCTTTCAATGTCTGACGCATTACATCAAAGTGGTACTCGGAACTCCGAGTCACTCAATGAAGCTGAGGAGGTGGAAAAATAAGAGGCTTGGAGCCATTACTGGGCGCCATTTTGATGAATTACCAGATTCAAGGTTACAGGAAGATGCAAAAGCTAAGCCTTGTAATTTAAAGATCGAAAAAGGCGTAAATGCGGTCCTGAGCGGGGTCGAGGGTGGCATAGAGAGTGCTCATCTGGAAATTAGCCTTGATTGTGTACATGACGTTGAGGCATACCTTGAAAATCTTTCACGCCTTACGAGATTGGGCAAATATAATGATGCCCGAGATCTTTACGAATCGTGCCCACCGACTCTGAAAGACCACCCAGAACTTTACATCGACTTTTTCGATACTTTGCTAAAACAGGGTGCTTATGAGACTTTAGTGGATCTCATGGCAAACAATGACCTATCTCAGTTGAAGGGATTGAGCAAATATGGATTCTTTCCCAATCATTATGCGCAGTCCATGTTGGAGTTAGCACGGAGGTGCACTTTTGATTCTTGCGACGAGGTATTTGGGAGTTAGGATTTGATACAATCCTGAACGGCTTAAAGTCTAATTTTGTGAACCTTGATTCAATAAAAGTAGATGCTGTACTTACTCATATGGATCATTTGCTAATTAATCGCCAGGTACAAACGCTTTGTAATATACTTTCCCTCGATTTGGAAAGAGAAGAATATGCGTAGACATACAAAAAAATCTCAAAGGAATTGGAAAGAGTCATGAGTAGCTCCTCGGCTTGGCACCATTTGTACATCAACTTGCTGTCAGCAAACAGGATCTGGGATATGCGGGATATTTTTCACGCCCTGTGTTCAAGATACGGGATCGGAGACACAATTAAACTTTTCACTCCTCGGAGACAGCTTTGTAGCGACAGCGTGAGGACAGAAAGATTTATAGAGAAATTTGTCGCTGCATGGACGCACAATTTCCACGGTGATGAATCAACAGAATTAGCGATTCTTGATATATTAGTGACACTTTCACTCCAGTTGCTTTCACACGGCAGTCAGACTGATGTTGTTGTTAAGCGAATTATAAGTAAAGCCACGGCCTACGCTAATCAATGCGCGTTGTCTATTAGTCTGAATAATCCGGAAAATGTTCAAACGAGCCCCTATCTGAGGTGGATTTTAGCCAACGAAAGACTAGCGAGAGAGCCACCGACAAACTCTGATTTGCATCCGATTCCAGATTATAAATACCTAAAGCAATCTCACGGGGTTCTTGTATGGACATGTAACTTGCCAATCTACGTGCCTCTAGATCCTCGTGAAGGTGGGCACCCTACCTGGGAAACTCAATCGCGGATAACGCCTGATAACTTGCTAAAACTTGGATTAAACGCCTCACGCAGAAACGGTGACTACCGCTTAGGAGCTCAATTTTTAGAGGAAATTTTCTATACATCTGACTCGCTACTAGAGGTATTATCCGAGTTGTCCCGTCTACAGAAAGATGTACAGGGAGATCGAATTAGTTATTTGCGAACGTGCTTAACCAAATATCTTTTAGCGGTTGATACCACAGCCATGGAGATGATAAGCGACGAGCTGAGAGCATTTGATGAGGAACTCTATTCTTCAGACTCAAAGGCTTTGATGGTTGATCCCATAACAGATTGATGCCTACGACGTGTGCAGAGTGCTTTGTACTATTCCCTTAACCTCACAACACCAGAAATTTCACTCATTATGAAGCAAGAGGAAGCATATGAGGCGCTACCCTACGACTTTAAACGCTTATTAGCCGAGCTAGGAAAGAGGGATGGTAGTCACGAACTTTACCCTCCTGAAGTAGCCCTTCCAAAGAAGTTTGCAGAACCTTGCAAGGGGACAGTTTACCGAGATGGTAATTTTATTATCTGCGATTCATCTGGTTACTTTACAAGGCCTTTTACTGCCTCAGATAATGAAGATTTCGTGGATTGATGCTATGAGTTATATTAACAAAGCCGTTGTAATGGTTGGTGTATCAAGCTCTCGCATGAATTTCCAATCATCGCGACTAGGCTTTTGTTTTGGTTCGGATGGCCTTAAGCTTATATTATTATGAACATAAAAATTAAATGCTCGAAGGCATTTTTTATATGAATTTATTATGTTACGATAATAGCTCCGATACTGATGCTTATTCTCCTGTCCTACCTTATAACATAAGCTCTAAGTCTGACACTGTTTGGAAGATTGAAACAGTGTTCTTCCATGACACGTTGGATATTGAACCCAATTCGTTGGCTCAGCTACATACATAGACGCTAAGCAATCAGTGTAAACAAATAGAATAGCTAAACATCTGCAACTACATTCGAAAATGAGAGCTGAATAATCGAGCTTAAATAAAACAATAAAAGAAGTTACTATGAGCACTGTTCATTCTTTCCAATTCATTCACTCTAATTCGTACCCATCTTAATTTATCTATCCTTCGCTTGCAGATGAATTAGTTTCGAATGTGTCAAATCAAGTGTTAAAAGATGAGTATTTCTTGAATCGAAGACATAGGATGATCATCACTGTTAAATGCAAACTATATACATACTAGTTATTAGCAGAGGCGTGCACCTATAAAGGTTCTTCAAGATAGTCGCCGAGAATACCACCAAATACCAAAATATTAGTAAACAAATATTTGTATAGTCGATCATAATCCTCGAAGGCTAAAATTATCGTAAAGATTATATCTTTATATATTAATAACTAATTATGTCTCACAATCGAGGTTTTGAGTATTCTCCGATCAATATTACACCTTTAACAAATATACAACCTCAAACACCAAATACCCTACAATACCCTAAATCCAAAAGCACACTGAGTAATTTTTCTATCATGTAGAATATATAGAACTCAACCAGAATAGCTTTTCGATCAGTTTTACCCCAGATTACCACATCCCGGTTTTAGCGATCAGTCTGTAATTAGCCGAGCAACATAAAAGAACTCGCTTATTTATCGAGTATTCATGAAGGAGTAAAGATACAATACGAAGTAACCAATAGTAATATAAGGGTATTATTATTAAAAAACAAAAGGGTTGGGCTAGATTCATAGGGTAAACTAAGTCGGGATTATGAGACCACCATCTCTATTGTTTCAGTTACTTTAAAATCAAAAGCCATACTACGGAGCATGTGTTAAATTGTCTAAAGTTAAGGTGGAATAACGATGAACAGTGTCCTTGATGTCAGACAAAGAGTTGACCATGTCTAATTTTGATGCGGAGCGATTCATCAATACCAAAAGATTCGAGCTACAAATCATCACTTCCTCGACTTTTCAATCGATTATTAAATCAACTATAAGAAAATTACAGAAAAGAGAATTAAATAAAATTGCAGCATTTGACTATTATACTGACAACATAGAATAGAAAAAATACTTTATTACTCCTCAGAGGACTTCCAGTATCCGCTATGTCTTCCCTTTTTGCTGCAATCCAACATATCCTTCTCGCTCATCCTCATTCTATATGCCGCGACGATAGCCAATGGCACGATAGAAGGATTACTCACGCCATCGAGTTCTTGCTCCAGGCCTTCTTCCGTAAGATAAAAGTCCTCTTTTATACACATATCCAATCTCTGTCTTCCATGTCCGAAACTCGCTGTACGCATAATAATATTTGGATCATATTCAGGGCTCCAGTCCCACTCTTTTACCAGCAACTCTTCGAGATATGCGTGGGAAGATTGTGCCGTATCAAATACGCGAATGAAAGGTTCGACTTCGCAATACTTCCGCGCACGTTCTATCCCTTGAATTACTACGTCGTAACCTGGGAGCCACAGATGACCATTATTCTTTTTGATGGTCCCATTCCAATGTTCTGTTAAAGTGATGTTGTCAAAGATTGGTAGGTCTTGTTTGTCATTTTTGCGACTGGTAGCCCACCATTTTGTGCGCTCATCGGGTCCATCAAAAGATCCCCAGCGCCAGACTCCATTATCTATATCGACATCTACAGTTAAATGGGCCATGTTGGCCGTATTACCAGAGAAACGATGGAAGTATTGATAAGTTGCATTGCTGTCAATTTCTGGTGCAAGTACAGGTGCGAGATAAAAAGTTTGGTCGTCGATTGAGGCATTGAGACTGTGCAAATCGTATTTGGATTTTACAAAACGAGTACCCATTTTGACGCGGGTATTAAATCCCTCGCAAGAGTCCTTCATTTGGTAATACCAGTAAATGTCTGGGCCTCCAATAATTCTAGAGATAAAATTTGTCAGTTGTGTGTTTTCAAAAGCGTCAAATGAAAAGAGCTCGATTACGTACTCGACTATCGGCAGGATGTAGATGCCCACAAAAGTACATGTTATGAGAGCCCCACCCAAAACTGTTCGCACAGGCTTAAATCTCACTCCAGTCTGTTCTGGAGTACCATTCAGGACCTCTGTAAAGAACTGTAACACCGCGACTAAGGAATGAATGAGAACACACCCTGACAGCGCCAAGTAAAAAAATCCGATGAAGAGAAGGCCAAGACCTTCCAGTATCTCAAATTCATCTTTGAAATGAGGATATCGATATGGTTGTGCGTGCCATTTGATGTGAAAAACGGCAAATATGGAGATGCATCCCATTACAATAACAACGGATATGGCATTCAAAATGACAGAGCCACGGTCTAGCTCTCTGATTTTGAATCTGCCCCAAACGGTACTCATATTCGGTGGTTCCGAAAATTTATCATCTGCGCAGCTTCCACAGGGATACTCACATGGACCCGGATGGCATGACTTTTGGCAAGTCGACTTATTTCCATGGATGCACCTTGACTTGCTACCACAGATTCCGTCCATGCACGCATTCGGAATGGTAGAATGGTCATATATGGGATTGCCATTCCCACACCAGCAACTTCCATCAGGTTTCGAGATTTTAGTTTTCTTACATTGGGGACATCTCCAAGCATCGTTATTTTCAGTTCGATTTGCCTTGGCCCATGATAGTGCACATTGGTAATGAGTAATAACATAACAATCCTTGCAGTGCCACAAGTAGCGAGCGGGTGTAAAACGTACGGCTTCAAAACAGATAGGACAAATTTCACTAGAATAACCGTAAGTATGAGCTGGGTAAAATTCTTCAATGTTTAAGTGGTTGTATTGTACATACTTCCCATTTCGGATGTTCTCGAGGATACGTGATTCTTTGGAGGATACGCTGGATTGATGAAACTCATTCCGTTGCTGGGTTTGGGTAGACATACGTCTAGTACTACCACGTTCGATGTTTTGTAGGGGTGTTGCATGTCTATCGTCAAATGGATCTCCATGAATATCATGAAAAGGATTATCAGTACTTCTGCGGCTAGTCGGCCACGACGAAATGGTCAGCCAACTGGTTGAATTCGAAGCCATGATAAGTAAATGTGTGTCGAAATTAAGGAAGAGAAACTGAAGGCAGACGGAAGGAAAGAAGAATTGCAAGGTAATTATACATCAATGATAAAAATCAAAAGACTATACGTGTCTTTGGCTAACTCGAACCATACCATTAGTGGTGAAGCGATTCTAAGCCGATCTGCGAATTCTACATTTGTCTCGGCTTATTGATTCGCTGCACCTGTTAGTTTGACAGGTAGGATTACTTGATTAAGAAGACTAGAAAAACTCAATAAAGCATGGTTGGGAATTTTAGAGATTGGTGACGTGTTGATTTCCCCTCAAAAAAACCTATTGCATCAAAATTCCATAGTTTTGTATGAATAAAGCCACACTACCAGCTTCCAAGATGATAGTGTGAGAAAGTTGGAATTATAAGTCAAATACATAGAGGTTTTTAACTAATCAATTATATAACCTTTTATAATTAAATATAAAAAAAGAGTTTTTATCTTTTCTTTTGAAAATAATCAACCTTTTATATATATATATTTGAACTTATATAACATCAATTTCAAAACTATTATGAATTCCATTTTCTCTATAAGTAACGTATTATAATGTAATCTAATTCAGCTTTCTCTTCCAATTCCCTCCTTACAACGTGCTATCGGGACGCACGTATCTCGACCTACCACTTTTACAATAGTTAGCTTAAATTTCAAGTACCAAATGATCTAGAGAGGAATTATAGACGCCGGTCCATATTTGTCATCATGTACGGTAATCAATATGTCTAGTGTGACGCTTAGCCCCCCTCGATCCATGAACAGGGTATAGCACGATACATGTACGAATGACATCAAAGTCTACATCTACATTTCTTTGAATTGTGAATAAGTTCCAAGACTAAGAAGCTGCAGACTTTTGTTTTTGAAACAATATGCATTAATGGCATCTATGAGGTCTTGATGTCGGGGTATCCAAACTTTAAAGTTCAAAGTCTGTGTGTAGTTCGAAGAAAATGAGCATAACGAGATCTTTAACCTGGAATGACGTTATTACTTGGTTGACAGTTTACAATCATTATTTAGAAACTAGTAAGGTTGGTCGATTTTAACTTTGGTACTAGTATTAGCTTGAGTGTAGTTTAAGCTTAATCGGTCTGGATCGCCAAGACAAATGTTCTTCGTGACGTGCAGTAGTGACTTTAGATCTGAAACTGATCCAAGATTGAGGAAAGTCTTGCTAACTTACATCACGCCAAGTGGAGTAGTTATCTTGTACTTTTCCAATTTTATGCCAGTCGATCAAATCCCATATTACGAGCTGTAGGTTAAAGACCGGGGAAAGAGTGGAGCTCAAATGCCGACTGGAGTATGAACTAACATGACCATGATCATTATCTTCACTCTTACACTTATGTGCCCTTCACTTGCGGCCACGTGGAATGAGCATAAATCGAAATTAAAGAACACTAGAAGAATAAGATAAAGTAAACGTGTATTTGATTTATTTATATCCTTGGTTGTGTAAAACTTCTTACTTACTGGAGAATCCTCTAAGATAGAGAGAAATACTTCTTGTGCATACTTTTTATAGTTTTTTTTTTCTAAAAATAATAAATAAATTAATAAATATTTTTTATAATTTATATATTTCTAAAAATATTACTCTTCTTAAATTTTGGAAATTTAAACTAAATTCGATAGTTTTAAAATTGAAATTTGAAGTGATTAATAATCCACAAGTTAATTAATGATCGATGTTTGTAAGAATCGAAATTAATTTTGCAAGTTACCGTCATAATTCGAAATGTTAATGGCTTCGCTTCTGCCGAGTTCAGAATTGTTGCCGGCCTACTTAGGAAGGCCGTAACATGAGTCAGAGACCCCGTACCCGTACTTCAACTCAACCTAGTTTAGCGCTACCTCTTAATATTCAAGCCAGACCAATTTCCAACCGGTTTACTGGAGTACTTTTGTTTAACAGGCATGGGCACACATACCATACCTCTAGAGATTCTAGAGGTAGTTATTCGTCAAATTCGAGTGGTACTCGCGGGTGTTTATTCCTAACTACTTCGTATATCAGATGGATTCATTACATTATTCGCTCATGTGATATTCGTACTACATGACATAGATATCTCGTGATAGTATAAGGTATCATATGATGAAAATTGTATGGAGTATGATTCAAGTGATGAAACTAAATATACTATCAAATGATGATTACCCGGGTACGCGGGGTAGCAGAGCACTTCTAGAGGGTGGAGCAGGGTAATTACTGGCTGGATTTATTCAAGGCTCTCCAGAGTATACCTTACCCTATTGCCCAACCTTGCAGACGAATGCATAGATATGATGCTTTTCTCATATAAAGTTGAGGCTTTTTAGAAAGTACTCGAAAGTTTGTATAGGAAGTGTTTTGAGTCCCTGGGTGGACTACAGACCTAACATCTGATATCCCTTCATTTGTTTGTTGTTTATATACATCTTTTTGAATGTCAACGACAAAAGAAGTATATGTAATCCGGTACCAAATGAAATGTAAAAATATCGTTCCATCATCAAAACATGAGAAAAAGAACAAGAGTTTTCCCTACACTCTGTGTCCTAATACTCATATTTCCATAAATGCCTTGTGCTCTGAGATTTGCCCTTAGATTTGCCCCTGGCTCCTTGCCCCCCGTTTCTTTCCTTCCTCTTCTTCAAGCCTCTCTTTTTCTTTCTTCTTATATTCAAAATAAAGTTCTGTTGTTTCTTGGGCAATACGGGCTTGTTCTATACGAGGATTTCCCACTTGCTTACCTTCGCCAGAAGACAAGCATTCACCAGGGATGCAACCGATGTTCGCTGAATCTATCCACGTAACGTTTCTCTCCCCGTCCCATAGCGGAAAGGATCTCTTACTCATGCAATTGGCACAGTAAGGCATTTTTGGATAAAAATGCTCTAGTGCACAGCCGCAACACTTACCATTTGCAAATTTGCAAGTTTTACACGGGTATGGTATGGGTGTTGGATCTCGTTCAAGCCGGTCTTGAGACATTTTGGTTATGTTTGAATCGATTTAGTGTATTACGAATATCCCACGTCGCTAATATTAGATTACTGCTGCTCTGAAGTCTCCGTTGATGTATGGTAATGAAGATATCTTGGGCGAAGTACCTTTGGATGTCTGAGTACAGTAATGACGAAGTTTCAAGTGAGGTAATAATTCGTTATTATGGCTCTGATATATGTATCAGTATCAAACCAGAGAGGGATATAGAGCACTGACTTCTAGTTTATAGAACAGAGGCCGGAAAGCGAGCGAAATTTCTGGATGTATGAGGTTGATATGCGGTGTACGTGCTGCGAGGAGCGGAAACTTGATGAAGTAAATCTGAGATGAAGTTTGTTAGAATCGAAAGGAAATATCGACTTTATTTATGGACATCACCCCTCTGCAACTTCGATTCCGAAGACCTGGGGTGTAAATGAGGGCGTTTTGGCTTTAAATGCCATTTCTACTGGTAATACTCATTAAACTGACTAGTAATACTGCTCAGTATGAGTTGATGTGGTGTTTCTGACCGAAGATATTCAACATTTTGGCTCAAGATGAAAAACTCAGGGCATGAATATTTTTCGAGCATACGTACGCTCTTCATTCACTCTGTTCCCAATATCCGACTTTCCTTCTCAACGTACAATGAAAAGGCTCTTGAAACCATTATAATGCCTACCTGGGCATTCAGTGACCGTAAATTATGAAGCTCTCGCGGCTGAGCCGACCCAAAAGATATTAACAAGGCCCGAAATGCCTCTAAGGAGGATGGAATTTTTTTTGGAAAAGTCAGCACATTCAATCAGAACCATGTGTTTTTGAGCTGGCGATGACACTGAGTGGTACTGATGAAGTTAATTAAGCTTAAGTCACACTCAGGTCAAATGTTATCATCAGCGGCGTCGCATGTAATTAAGACTGCAATTCAAGTGGATAGAATGTTCAATATTGACCAATGTATAAATCAGAAATCCCATCTCGCGGACGTGCAGTGTGAAATATATAAATGGAAGGCGTTACTGAGCTTGAGAAGACTGCCTTCCCAAAAAGGGCCTTAATCCCAGATCAACATTTGAGGTGAACGATCCTAGGGCGTGATTCATATTTGAATGTGCATTTACCGTAGATATACACGTACTTGAACAGCTTCACACTTTTGCCACAGAATGACCCAAAGCCGAATTTTGAAGTTTGTTTCATCGTTTAAACATAATTTTGTTAATAATGCGATGAGTATTTTGATGCAAATTATGGCGTGTTCGGTGAAATGACCTGAGAAAAAGGAATTTTGTCAGAGATACTAGATCTTGTGAAGGAGGGAAAATTTGAATGGTGTGTTTACCAAATATGCTTACCGTGCTATAAACTCGGTTGCTTGGTCCTCCATACTTGCTTTCCTTTTGCCTAGAAAGATAAATACCCCAGCGACATTAGGTAAATAACACGGCAAATTGAATCATCCTTCTAACTTATATACCTCTCCGCAACTCAATCAAATACTTCTCATACCACATGTCTGAGATGAAGATCTCGGAACCTCAGAGTCTTAGCATCGCAGCTGGTTCGAAGGACTATCCAGGTAAACAGATAGTGGCACAGCTGTAAAGTATCAGTATCTTTCCAAGTTATAATCGCTTCCCAAGCTTTCAATCATTGCACCAGTCTCTCTGGTGCCGTTTTTCAATCTACATGTGAGCATTCGCGCAACAGAGACTGCTATCAACCAGGCCCGAGGTTTCCAGCTCATTCTAAATACGAATTTAGCCATTCCGATATCCATTCTGTCCAGGCTCACGACATTACCATCGCCTTTCTCATATGTGAACGCACCATATTCGTTAATAGTCAGGTCTGCTCCACGCTATCCGTTTATGGGCTCACAACGCTCTCATTTACCCAAGAATGTTCCACATTCTTTGATCAATGGTGAGTCTCATCGACTATCGCTAGATCTTGCCTTCAAGTTCCCCTAATCACCTGATTACTCAATTTAATTCCACACTGATGGACCCATTCCTGGATCTTCAACTAATAACTTATAGCAATCCTATTCACCTGAAGTCCTTATTTTTTCTTCGATTGATGGGTCTCGATCAGGCTCTCCTCCATTGATGGCGATGTTCCATTCAAACCTGCTTCGATTTTTTCCTCACAAAATAAAGCAATGAATTACACTAGAGACGTTTTGGCGATATTTATATGCCCATAATTGATGGCTTCGATATCCTGCACCTCTCTCGGTGGTTTTTCTATATGGTTAATACTCTGCCATATTTAATAGGTAGGATAAATACCTCAAGAAGCCAAAACCTTGGGCACGGGTAGGGTGGCCGTGCCTCGGACTCAGATCAGCTGTTAGACGTTAGACAGGAGAGACGACATGAATATAAAAGGATCTTTGAATTGTATTTTTTGGTATTATTGATGAGCTAGCATGTAAATCTAGTACTTAATTTTGGACCACCCCTCTTTCGGACCACCCTTTTATATCAAAATCGTAATTTTCAGTTATTAATAACTTTATAATTAATCAATAGAATTTGATGAAACTCGAATCGTAGATTCATTATATAATTATAATTCAATTTTGAAAATTTTAGATTTTTTTGGAATTAATTTTATTGAGATCTATAATCTTAAATTTTGTGATTT